ATACGAGTGGGTTAACTTGAAGGCCCATTCAGTGAACGATGCATCCGAATCCAATATTGTTAACGTCATACACTCATTTGAAATCACCAATCCATTGTCCTTTCATTTTCAAACAATTTTGCTTGCCTAGGTTCTTTGATCGTAATAGAATGTGCACAATTCTATAAAATGAAGCAATATTTGATGTTAGCTAGTGTTAATGTTTATTTATCTATTTACGTCAATTATATATTTGTACTGAATTAGTAGTTCGACATGTTTATGTGGCTTCTTTTTCATCTTTTATTACAAGACAAAATGTTACGATCACCAATATTATTCCCTTTTCACATAATTACATTCCATTACCTACATAGGTGCTTGTTCCCATGATTGTCTTGTCACTATAAACCCACATAATTGTCACATGTAATAGGGCTCACTCATCACACACATTTTATAATATCTCACAACTATCTATATCTGAATGATACATACCCTAATGCTAATTACCCTTGGTTTTTTTGCACTCTCTACCTCTTACATACAATCATTTGAACGTTCCAGGTCAACATAACAACCTTCCCTCCACCTTAACATATGGTGGAATACATCTAAGCACCTTAGATCTATTAAAAAGCATATCCAACTTAAACTATATCCGGTCACCCCTTGTGGACTGAATAAGAAACAGTCAATATAATCTACCATCTCGAGCTGAATAATATTATTATGAAGGAATTATTTCATCTAAAGATTTAAAGATAAATATAAAAATTATAAATATATGTTGTTACACATGTAAATATTTATTAATATATACAAAATAATAAAATTAATTAAAAATACTTGGTTGGAATTTGTTATTGGGATCAACCACTATCATTGCCATTCACACAGCAAGTATGCTACCAATACCTATATATGATGTCAGTCTCCTCAATAAGTTCCCCCGCCCCTCTCCTTTTCTTTTGATATTTATCGTATTTACGTTTGAATTGAAAATTTATTTGGTAAGGCAAGAGTAGAGTGTTACATATATTTGATTTATATATATTGAGTTATTGAAAATGAAAAGAATTGAAGAGACTAGTTATCCTGAACCAAATTCTACTCGATCTTTGAGTTATAGTTCAGGTTAGCTATGTTATTTTTTTATAGAATTGATTTAACCCTAACTCGAATAAATGGATTGGTTTGTTTGTTTTTTTAATCCAAACCAAATTTACACATCGAACATTTTTCATCATTTCATTAGTTTTTCGAACCTTGGGATACACCACCCCAAAAGCTAACTTAAAGGGTGGGAGTGCTCAAGGCCTTATAAACTCCACATTAATTAGTTGCTCATACAACCAATGTGCACTACAAGAAATATGATTAGTTGTGACAAAAATTTAGTGATGAATATACGATTGGTCACTAATAATATATTATCTGTGACCAAATTTTATTTTGTCACTATAATTATTTTTAATTGTGACAAAATGATAAATTGTCACTATAATTTCATTAATAGTGAAAAATATATATTTATCACAAATAATTCGTCACTAATAATATATTATTTGTGGCCAAATTTTATTTTGTCACTATAATTAATTTTAATTGTGATAAATTGATAATTTGTAACTAAAATTTCATTAATAGTGACAAATATATATTTATCACAAATAATTTGTCACTAATAAAAATTATTAACTAAAACACTATTTTCACATAATCAAGTCGTTATTGATATAAAATTTTAAAGATGCCAAAAAAAAGTAATAGTAACAAGATTTTAAGTTATCATTAATTTTATATCATAATATTGACAATTATAAAATTTATCAATCATTTTTTGTTATTAGTGACAACTCACAAATAATTCATCATTAATGATTTGAAACATTTATGTCTAAAATTATTCGTCACAAATATTTAATATCAATATATTGATAATGGTGAAAATTTTCTCACTACTATTATAAAAAAATTATTAGGGACAAAAACTAAACTTTGTCATTAATATTATATTATACTATATGAAAACTTCTTATTCCCTTGTACATGACATTGCTTCCTAATTATGTATAGAGGAATTCAGCCTCTACTTTGAAATTTTTTAGCTCATCCCTGTTGAAGCACGTAATTTATCTTCTTCTTTTTTGTATACAATTTATCTTCTTTTGTTAAAAGAATGATATTATCTATGTGAATGCTTTGAGTGCAATAAAATAATGTCTAATTATTTTTAAAAAAAAATTAACAAAATTTGTTTCATAAGAAATTGCCCACTAACCAAACCAACAAAAAAAAAGTGCCCACTAACCAAATTAACAAAAAAAATTGCCCACTAACCTTCCTATATCCCATATTTTAAGGTTTTAATATTTTTTTTAACCTGTACAAAAAAATAGCATATAATATTAATCAATCGTCATCAGAATCATACTCATGGATGTGATCACTTTCCTCATCTTCTATCAAATTTAAAGTATCATAATCACTTTCCTCTTCATTGTCAGCATCTTCTACATGCACCATTGGACTTCCATCAACGGTGGGTTGTTCTAAGTCATTCCTATCCAAAGATATCGCTTGTTCATCATCTGGTTCATTACACAGTTCATGTAACTTCCCAACGCATATCATAAAAGTCACGGGGCTTTGTCTTCACAATCTCATCATTTTCTTGACATGGCTCATTTGTAACTTCCCAAGGCATATCATAAAAGTCACGGGGCTTTGTCTTCACAATAACTAGCCAATTCAGATCTTTAGTGTCTTTAACATAATACACTTGTTGAGCTTGAGTGGCTAGGACATATGATTCATTAGTGCTCAATCTACGATTGATATTGATAAGAAAAAAACCATATCTATCTTCCTTATATCCTCTTCCTCTAGAAGAAACATCCCACGAATCACACTTAAATAAAATCACACTATTTCCACCGCCGTACATTAATTCCACAATGTCTGTTAAGATGCCAAAATAATCTAAATTACCTGTATTCTCATCCCCTTTAACTAGAACTCCACTATTTTGAGATTTTAATTGCATATCACGATCCTTTATATTAAACCTCCAACCATTTATAAGATAACTAGTATATCTAAAAACACGTGTATTAGGGCCACAAGCCAAGTCAAATAATGATTCATTTAAGCTTTCATCCCCGACATTTTTCAGAAACGTAATCTGAAATTAAAATAAATAAATATATATATATATATATATATGTATGTATGTATGTATGTGATAAGTGTCTAAGACACTATGTTTTTATGGCTAAAAAGAGTTTAAATAATTATTAAAATAGTTAAAAATATAGTATTAAAACAATAAAACAGTAAAACAGAATGAATTGCCAACAAATAAACAAATTTTAAATATTTGTTGTTGTTTCAGGTTGTTGAGAATGGAATACTGGAATAACAAAGTAACAAAATGAGGCAACGAATACGCGGAGCAACGGGGAAATCAGAGATTAAATAATAAATAAAATAAAATTGGTAACGCTCGCTCCATTGCTCGCTAAAGCGAGCAAGTGGGCGAGCAGCTCGCGAAGTTCCTAGCTAAAGCGAGCAAGTGGGCGAGCAGCTCGCAAAGTTCCTAGCTAAAGCGAGCAAGTGGGCGAGCAGCTCGCAAAGTTCTTAGCATAGGCGACTGATGGAGCGAGCGAATCCAGGAAATTAAAGCCCATATTTTCCCTTTAAATACAACGCGATGGAAGCTGTGAAAGGAATTATTCGGGAACGCGGAGAAAGAAGGCACTTGAGACGAAGCGAGGGAAGGAGCATAAGCGTAGCACTGGATCGTGGCAGAGGAGAAGGAAGGAGTCAACTCTGCACCATTGATCATCACTTTTAGACAAGTTTACCATGAACTCAGTTTCTTTTACAGTAGATTTTAATTCTGTCTTTATGAGTATGTTAGGCTAAATTACTTTTAGTAGTTAGGAAGATACAGAACCAATGGGTTCTTAGTTGATGTCTGTTTATTCTTATGAATTATATTCTTGTCTTTGAATTATGCAATCAATCGGATATATATGATTAGTTTTATTTATGAATTGATCACTCGTAGATAAACATACGAGTCACATATGACAATAGGGATGTTGGTATGTGATTCTGATTGGTTGATTGCTGGAATTTGCATGATCTAGGGATAGACTTGTGAATTTTATAACTTGAGTTCTTGCGTTAATGCTTATTCTATGAGAAAGTACTAAGGGATTAGGCTTTGGATTAGAGTAAAGGATTGGATTACCAAGGGATTGAGATTTAATCAATCATAGAAAGAATTGTTAATAATTCAATCTTGAATGTAATCGTGAGAATAGACAAACACGTTAAGAAACCATTGGGGAAGTTGAATCCTAACTACGCCTTTTTATTGAAAACTTAAATCAATTTCTTTTAGCTTTAATTAATTCTGAATTAAATTTCTAAAATATTAAAAACCAAAAATAAGTTTATAAATTCTGTTTTTACTTTAATCACAATATTCTCAAGAAAACCCTTAATGATAGATCCAACTTTAATTAAATAAATAGATTATTGCTTGGTGATCAGTCCTCGTGGGATCGACAACTCTACTTTATCACTTTATTACTTGTACGACCGGTGCACTTGCCGAGTTCTTCAACAAGTTTTTGGCGCCGTTGCCGGGGACTGATTTAATCAACATTAATTTTATCTATCAAATTATAGATTGGATCATTTTATTTTGTTGTTATTTATTTTACTGTGTTAGTTTAAATATCTTATTGTTTTTATTGTTATTTTAGTTATTTTATTTTAATTTGTTTGCTTTAAAAAAAAAAAAAAATTTCTGTTTAGTTAGTGGTTTCCGTTAGTTGGTCCACTGAGCCTTAGTTTTCTGGTTTATGCATTTGCGAGGCACTGTTAATCCCAGTGACCTACAGTACGAACCGGAGTTAGGACGTTTAGAAAGAACTAATAGGAAACGTTTGACCGCAAAGAAGACACGAGAAGCATCGAGCTCCAACTCTGCGGAAGGACTAGTCATGGCGGAAGATAACCAAAATCCACCTGAAGAACTGATGAGTCACTTCTTAAACCCTAATTTCTCGCATCCAACTGCGAGTATTAGGAGACCTCAAATCCATGCCAACAACTTTGAAATAAAAGCCTCTTTCCTGAATTTAATTCAAAGTAATCTATTCGAAGGAGACCCGATCGAAGACCCAAACCGCCACATCACTAAATTCTTACAATTGTGCAGCCTCATCAAAGCTAATGGGGTTCCTCCTGAAGAAATCCGTTTGATGATGTTTCCCTTTTCTTTAAAAGGAAGAGCACTTAATTGGCTGGAATTGCAACCTGCTAATAGCATCTCCACGTGGGAAGATTTGGTTGAGAAATTCCAAAAGAAGTTCTTCCCATTATCCCGATTCTCTGAGTTGAAGGAACAAATTGACAACTTCAAGCAACTCGAAGGCGAATCTCTGTGCGTAGGATGGGGAAGATTTAAAGAACTAATCAGGAGATGTCCCCAATACGTTTTATCTAATGGCGAGAAGGTCCGAATTTTCTACAAAGGAGTTACTCCAACTTATCGAGTACTTCTTAACGCTGCAGCTGGAGGGAGTATCGGAGAAATCACTCCCACAAGGGCTATTGAATTAATTGAGAAGATGGCATCTGAAGACAACGATGTCACACCAGTTCAACCTAAGAAAGGAGTGTTGCAGTTAGATGGGTACGACGCTATGTTAGCCAAACAAGACAAGATGGATCAAAGGTTGGATTCACTTGTTAAACTCTTTACCCAAAATCAAATCTCTGCGGTTAATTCGCAATTTCCTGTAGTTTGCGACACTTGTGGTGGACCACACACTCCTGAAAACTGTGACGCTACAGTAACGATTGATCCGGCTCAGGTTCATGGGATCTGGAATAACCAGAGGAGAGAAAATCCTTATGGAAATACGTATAATCCGAGCTGGAGAAACCATCCTGGTCTGTCATACAAATCTGGGCATCAACAAAATAATGCAAATTTCCAACAAGATCAACCTAATCAGAAAGCCGCTTGGGAAGTTGCATTTGAAAAGATGACTCAATCTCAAACAAATTTCGCAGAAGAAACGAGAGCATCTTTTAAGAATCAAGAAGCTTCCATAAAGAATCTGGAAAATCAAATCGGTCAGCTTGCTAGACAGATGGCCGAAAGACCTCCAGGTAATTTTCCTAGTGACACAATCGTTAATCCTAAAGGACAGTGTAAAGCTATAACTACAAGAAGTGGAATCGTAATCACACCTGTAGAAAAGACTACCATTGCATCAAGCAGTAAAAACGACTCAGAAAAAGAAAAGCCTGCTGAAGAAAATGTTGATGGTCATGTTGATAGAGATGTCACAATTATTGGAGGACCATTAAATGATACCCCACGTAAAAAAATCGTAAAGAAGCCTTCTTTGGAAGAACGAATGAAAGCGTTGGGAGACAACCCGTATGTTAAAGCCCCATATCCTCAAAGGCTGAAACAATCAGCACAAAAGCAACAGTATTCTAAATTTTTAGAAATGTTTAAAAAGCTGCAAATAAATATTCCATTCGTTGAAGCCTTAGAAAATATGCCAAGTTATGCAAAGTTTATGAAAAGTTTGCTTTCAAGAAAGCACAAGCTTAAAGAAGAAATGGAAACAGTGTCTTTGACAGCGGAATGCAGTGCTATTATTCAAAAGAAAATACCACCAAAGCTTCAAGATCCTGGTAGTTTCAGCATTTCTTGCACTATCGGGAATGTTCATGTGGGTAAGGCATTGTGCGACTTAGGGGCGAGCATCAACTTGATGCCACTATCCTTTGCCAAATCTTTGGGAATCACTGAACTAAAATCCACACTTCTGTCATTGCAATTGGCAGACAGATCTATAAAGAGGCCTGAAGGAGTGGTTGAAGATGTGTTGGTAAAAGTAAATGACTATATTTTCCCTGCAGATTTTGTGGTTTTAGATATGGAAGCAGATACTGAAGTACCTCTTCTCTTAGGAAGACCTTTCTTAGCCACAGCTAGAGTCTTAATTGATGTTGAGCAGGGAGAGCTTCTATTTAGGGTCAATGGTGAGCAATTTACAGTCAATGTTTTTGAAGCCATGAAATGCCCAGAAGAAAAAGGTGACTGTTTTCAAATCGACGTGATTGACAAAGCTGTAGCAGCAATCACAGATGAAATTAATGCAGCACCAACAATTACAGAATTATTTGCTAGGATTTTACAAACTCCTGAACCGCTAAATGAAGCTTTGTTGGAAGAAGTTGTAAAAGCAATTGATATTGTCGTCGACGATGAGCCTGGATCTTTAGACCTTGAATCTCAAGAAAATAAGACAACAACTGTCCAAACACCTGAATTTCCGAAGTTAGAATTAAAAGAACTTCCACCCACCTTGTAATATGTCTACCTTGGCAATGGTGATACTTATCCAGTAATTATTAATAATTCATTGCTACAGAAAGATGAAGAAAAATTAATATGTGTTTTGAAAGAACACAAGACTGCTATTGGGTGGACCTTTTCAGATCTTAAAGGTGTAAATCCTTCTTTTTGTACACATAAGATTTTAATGGAGGATGAGGTCAAACCAGTTCGTCAACCACAGAGGAGATTAAATCCTACTATGAAAGAAGTGGTTAGAAAAGAAGTTGTAAAGCTTCTGGATGCGGGTATGATTTACCCGATATCAGATAGCAAGTGGGTAAGCCCGGTACAAACTGTTCCTAAGAAAGGAGGGGTTACAGTAATTAAAAATGACAATAACGAGTTAATCCCGACTAGGACAATAACCGGTTGGAGGATGTGCGTGGATTACCGTAGGTTAAATGACGCAACTCGTAAAGATCATTTTCCTCTGCCATTTATGGATCAAATGTTAGAGAGGCTGGCTGGGTACGCTTATTATTGTTTCTTAGACGGTTATTCAGGTTATAATCAAATATCAGTAGCACCTGAAGACCAAGAAAAGACTGCTTTTACTTGCCCATTCGGTGTGTTTGCATACCGAAGAATGCCATTTGGTCTTTGTAATGCACCAGCCACGTTTCAAAGGTGCATGTTATCTATCTTCTCTGATATGGTTGAAAATATCATAGAAGTGTTTATGGACGATTTCTCCGTGTTTGGTTCTTCATTCGATAGTTGCTTGTCGAATCTTTCTCGCGTGCTCAAGCGATGTCAGGAAACCAATCTCATTCTTAATTGGGAAAAGTGCCATTTTATGGTAAAAGAGGGAATAGTCTTGGGACACCGAGTTTCGGAGAAAGGAATTGAAGTTGACAAGGCTAAGTTACTCATCATTGAGAAACTTCCTCCGCCTGTAAATGTTAATGGAGTGAGGAGCTTTCTTGGACATGCTGGATTTTATAGAAGATTTATCAAAGATTTTTCCAAGATAGCTAAGCCTCTTAGTCACTTATTAGTAAAAGGTGCTGAGTTTAATTTTGATGACGAATGTCTAAAAGCTTTCAAAATACTGAAAGAAAAACTCACTACTGCACCTGTGCTAACCGCACCTGATTGGACGCTCCCTTTCGAGCTTATGTGCGACGCAAGTGATTATGCCATAGGAGCAGTCCTAGGTCAGCGGAAAAACAAATTGCTACATGTAATCTACTACGCCAGCAAAGTACTTAATGAAGCTCAATTAAATTATGCCACAACTGAGAAAGAGATGTTAGCTATAGTGTACGCATTGGATAAATTCAGATCTTATCTAATAGGGTCTAAGGTTATAGTGTATACAGATCATGCCGCACTAAAATATCTCATTAATAAGCAAGATGCAAAGCCACGACTTCTTCGGTGGATGCTCCTCTTGCAGGAATTTTCACTTGAGATTGTAGATAAGAAAGGAGTAGAGAATTTAGTAGCAGATCATCTCTCCAGAATTCAAGATAAAGAACTGCAAGATAGCCCAAATCTTTTAATCAGAGAAGAGTTTCCTGATGAACAACTAATGGCTCTCAACATGATAACACCCTGGTTTGCTGATTTTGCAAATTACTTGACAATTGGGGAATTTCCCCACGATCTCAATGATCCATATCTTTTCTTTCGATGTGCTGATGGAATAATTCGTCGTTGTGTTCCAGAGGAAGAAGTTAAAAACATTCTCTGGCACTGTCATGGATCTGAGTACGGTGGACATTTTGCTGGAAATAGAACAGC